GAGAGAGAGAGAGAGAGAGAGAGAGAGAGAGAGAGAGAGAGAGAGCGCGCGAGAGAGAGAGAGAGAGCGAGTAAGAGATAGATAGATAGATATTTGATGAGTACATGCGGGAGAGGACGACTCACCCGGTGCATGTTGGGTCGCAGCACTTTGATGGCGCCGAACATGAGGAAGATGTTGCGAGCCTTCGCCCAGCGCGGCCGCATGCCGGCATTGAGCACCTTGAGCGTCGTCGCCGACGCCACCTTCCGTACGTCGGCTGGCAGGTTGCGCTTGAGCGACTTCGGCGTGAAGGGCGCCGCCAGGCTCCACGGCTTGTCCTGCCCGAACGTGCCGACGTACCTGTGGTCGTGTTGTGGAAAACGCGGGTCGAATTTTAGCGAGCGTTGTGGGAGTAGTATTGTATTGACGTCGACAATAGAAGCAGTTCGGGTAATTACACAGTGATGACGACGTCGATGCTTACGACATCAGCGACAACAACAGCAGCGACGACGACGATGACGACGATAACGACAGCGACGGCGACGACGATGACGATAATAGGGACGATAACGATAGCGTAACGTATATATAACTAATCTTGCAAGCGTCGCGACAATACCGCCTGTCCGGTATATCGTATCTTTACATATTCGCTAAACACATTTTAATCTAATTACAGCCAAATCTGCGCTGATAATCTCAATTAATTACTATTCATTAATTGTCATGGTAATAATTAATTGATTTATAGCGAATTATAGATTATTGGCGAATAGACGCGGACCGATTAGCATAAGCATTATACGGCCCGCAATGAATTCGAGAAAATCGATCTGGCGTATCTCGCGCATGGAGGCCGTTGATCGTGAGACGAAGGGCGCTGTCGACAGTTGTGAGAGTGATAGCAGACGAGTAAAGAGCGGGGGAGGGGGGGGGCGCTGCTGCGATGTCGGCGTCTGCCGACGCGTCCGACCGGATACCATCGCGTGAGAGATTCACGTCGTCGCTCGCGTAGATCCGACGTTGTCAGCATTTTTTATTGCGCGCCGCCATTTTTCTCGGATCAATTAGTAAACGGGCTTTTTTGCCGCCGAGTTACGATCGAGCGGCCGGATATGTTAAGAAATTTTGCTTGCCGGACAGGTTCTCTCTTTGAGTGAATATCTCTTTTTTTTAATTCGCGTAGATTACATATAGCTACGGTAGTAATCACATTGGCAGTGATGACATTGATATCCGTCAACCATCCTCGCTCCGTGATTAATTTGCTACTCGATATTATACTCGCTAACATCCACCTAAATTATATAGATAGGTACCGAATCTCAACCACAACTATTTTCCGATGTCTATTTTTATATCGGGGAAACCGTGCTACCTTATCTACTACCTAATGGTTTCACCTGTTATTATTATCATCATCATCAGCATCATCATCATCATCATCATCATCATCAGCATCATCATCATCATCATCATCATCATCATTATCATTAATGATTTATGAACAAATCGTCGCGCAACTGAAGCACGGGCATGTGACACCAATGACGTCACCCGATAACGTCACCGTTGACGTCACTCGATGACGCCACCGTTGACGTCACCCGATGACGTCACCCCGCGAGCAGCGGTTGCGATTCTGCGCATTACCTGCCGCACAGGCTCCACAGGCGTATAGAGCAGTCGGCACTGCAGGAGACGATAAGTCGGCTCTCCTCGACATAATCCAGGTTCGTGATGGCCTTCAGATGACCCCGGAAGGAGTTGAGCAGCACCGGAAACGACGCGTCGCGCCGATCGCCAGATGGCGCCGTCGTCTGCCAGTCGACGAGTCGCGGCACGGGGTGGCGCAGGTAGGGAAACTCCTTCTCGTCGGCCGTCGTCGTCGTTGTCGTCGTCGTCGTCGTCGTCGTCGTCGATCGAGGTTCGTGCACGCAGTAGCGACTGATGTCCCACACGCGCACGTAACCCTTCGAGTCTCCGCTGACTAGCAGACGATTGGCGGCGTCGGTTTGCAAAGCGACGACGGACTCGCCGCGGTCGTGCGCCGCGTGGAAGCGACCGAGCAGGCGACCGCCGTGGTGGATCGACCACGCCTGCACGTAGCCGTCGGCGCCCGCAGCGAGCAGCGTCGCCGTGTCGGCACGGTTCTCGCGCGCCGTCAGAAAGATGATCTTGTCGACGGACGCCAGGTGGCGCTTTTGGTAGCCGAAGATGCCGGTTGTGTCGCGTCGGGGGTGTGCGGCGCCGGCCGCCGACGGCGATGACTTCGCGCTGCTGTGGTGTTGTTGTTGCGACGCTGATGGTTGCGTCATCGGTTGCGTCATCGGCTGCGTCACACCTCGCGACTGCTTTGCCTGCGTCTGCGTCTTCGGCTGCGTCGCGCCACGAGACTGCTTCGTGTGCGTCGCAGGTTGCGTCGTCGGCCGCTTCTTCGTCTGCGTCGCGCGTCGCGTCGAGTGCAGCGTCGTCAGCGCGTGGCCGGTCTCCAGCGACCAGATGATGATCGCTCCGTCGTAGTCGGACGTCGCCACGACGCCGGGACTCATGTAAGCCATCGACAGGATGTCGTCGGCGTGTCGCGACTGCCACTCCTTGCACGAGTCGTCGTCGACGTCGTCGATGAACGTCGTCACCTTGCGATTCCATCCGGCGACGATGATGCGCTGCTTCGGACAGATGATGCTGGTGACCTCTCGTCGACCCGCCGGCACCAGCTCGCGCAGGCACGCGCCGTTGTTGAAGTTCCAGATCTTCACGAGCCCCTCCTTGCCGCCGGTGATCAACCGCCGCAGCGTCGGGTCAAAGGTCATCGCCGTGATTTCCACGGGGCGTTCGGCGCCCTGGTCGTGCACCCGGTGGGCGTTGACAAACTGCATGACCTTCTCGCCGGTGCGGATGTCCCATACGGAGACGACGGAGCCGTGGCAGCCGCTGACGACGTAGTTGAAGAGGCGGTTGTAGATGGCGGCGACGACGGCGTGCGTGTGCGACAGCACGGCCGAGTCCTTGCTCTTCTCCTTCGGCTCGGCGCGTTCGAGCGTCGCCAACTGCTTACTGCCCATGATCAACATCTGCGTCTTCGCGTTGAAATACACGGCGGCGACGGAGTGCGTACCGAGAGGGAGGTTGCGACCGAGGATGCTTTGCAGGCAGCACTGCTCCTTCATGTCCCACACGCGCACGTTGTTGCTCTGGCATATACTGACGATCTGCTCGCAGGCGGCGTTCACTTTCACGTGAACGATCTGCGCGCCGTGGCCGTTGAGGACGGTGATCGCCTTCGACGTCACGTAAGGGTTCCAGACGCGCACGCTGCGGTCGAGGCCGCCCGTGACGAGCACGTTGCTGTCGGCGGAGTAGTCGAAGCAGCGGATGCCGCGCGGAACCGTGAAGAAATAACTCGGTTTCTTACGGTCGATGTCGCCGACGTACAGCGACGTGCCGCTCGCAGCCGAGCAGGAGATGAAGCAGTCGAGACCGGGGCAGTACTTCACCTGACACACCCAGTCGTCGTGAAGGGGCGCGAACTTGTGAGCGGTGACGCCCCGTACGAGCCCGCGCAGCAGATGCGGCATCGGTATACGCTGCACGACCGTCTGCTTCGTCGCGAACTGCCCGAACAGCCCCGCCGTCGCGCACTCGGAGAATTTGACGACGCACACGTTGCCGCCGGCGTCGCCCCAGACGAGTATCGCTTCGTTCATGTCGGCCGTGTTGAACCAGTAGTCCATCGTCAGCGCGCAGTGCTGTAGCTGCGTGATCTGGAACATCTTGTCGAATTTGTTCGCGTTGGTGTCGTACAGGTAGATGTCGCGTTCGGTCGACGACACGGCGAGCATGTTGACGTTCGGCAAGGACACCATGTCGGACAGCCAGAGCGGTTTCGCTTTGCTCTTGCCCGGGTCCAGATGGATCGTCTTCAGATGCGACATGTCCATTCCCCAGAAGTTAACGGCGCCTTCTTTACTCAGCGACGCGTAGCGACCGACGGTTTGGTCGATTCCGTCGACGGCGTTGCATTGTCGGTTGGAGAGAGTCGGGATGAAGGCGATAGAAGTGATGATGTCCTTGTGGGTGGACGCGTAAAGGGTGGCCGGGTTCGGAAAGGGTTTGCCCTGAGCCATAGTCGTCATCGTGTCCTTCTCCTGGTATTCGAGAAGCATGTAGGAGAGATACTCGTCCCAGTCCACGGTGCCGTCACAGTTCGTGTCCACCTAAAGCGTACGAGAGAGAGAATGAGAGAGGGGAGATAGCTAACACAGAGAACTACATACATCTGCAAGAGCGAGGGAAAGAGAGAGGAAGAGAGAATATAATAGAGAGGGGGAGAGAGAATAAGAGAGAGAGAGAGAGAAAAGAAAGAAAGAGAGAGAGAGAGAGACAGAGAGAAAGAGAAAGCGACAGAGAGACAGAGAAAAAGAGAGAGAGAGAGAGAGAAAGAGAAAGAAAGAGAGAGAGAGACAGAGACAGAGAGAAAGAAAGAGAGGGAGAAAGAGACACAGAGAGAAAGAGCGAGAGAGAGAGAATGAGAGACACAGAGAGAGAGAGAGAAAGAGAGAGCGAGAGAGAGAGTGAAAGAGGGAGAGAGCGCGCGAGTAAAAGAGAGAGAGAGAGAGAAAAAGAGAGAGAGAGAGAGAGAAAGAAAGAAAGAGAGAGAAAGAAAGAAAGAAAGAAAGAAAGACAGAAAGAAAGAGACTACAATATCATGCGAAAAGCCCCCGCCGAGAGAGATCTAGTCAAATATATTATTTTATCTCGACGATGCTGCCATTTAAGTTATCTGTAGTTAGAACTAATGACTCCCTTGGGCGCATAGCGTTATTGTGAGCAATTTCCATTATATCACTTATGCGAATAGACGACAGATAAAGACGAACGAATCGAATAAATAAAACAGATAAACCGTCGAACATCAAAGCAGTTGATGTAACTAGGCCTAATATAATTTAGTTAGTAAGTAAAATCGTTCAATTATTTATTCATGTATTTAATCATGCATTCCTTCATTCATTCATTCAATCATTTATGCATTAGTAATAATAATGTAATAATTATAATAATAATAACAATAATAATAAAAATAAAAATAATATAGTTAATAGTTATATCAAGTTTATATTAATATATTGTTTAAGTTATATTAGTTAGTACTACTACTACTACTAATAATAATAATAATAATATTATTATTATTACTACTACTACTAATAATAATAACTAACCTTCATGAACAGTATGTCTAGCTCGTGATCGTCGACGTTGCCTCCCATCGTCTTCCGCATCGCACCGCGGAACTCGTCTATGTCTAGACCGCCCCCGCCGTCCTCGTCCGCCTCCTCGAACATATTCTGCAGCTTGATGAGGTGATCGTTGTTCATCTGGTCCTCCAGCCGCGCCGACTGCGACTCCCGCCGCTGCGTGCGCGCGTGCGGTCCGACGTCGGCCCTGCCGGACAGGTGCAGGCCCGAGGCGGCGACCGAGTCTCGGCTGCCGTGCGCCATCTCCGAGATATGACTGCCGCTCTTCTCCATATTTGCGTTGGGATTTTTCGGAGGTTTTCGAGTGCGTTCGTCTGTGGTGCAGTTAATGTTCGTCTGTCGTGGTAGTAGCGTTGGTCTATATCGTAGTGTTAGCGTTCGTGTACCGTGGAACTATCTTTCATCTGTCATGGAACTATCTTTCATCTGTCCTGGAACTATTATTCATCTGTCCTGGAACAAATTTCATCTGTCCTGGAACTATCATACAGGTAAACACATACACGTAAAAATTGCAAGGGGAGAGCAGTTGCGTACGCGCACGTGTGGGCATGCACATGCGCGTGCGTGTTTTCAATAATTACAATGCGTGTGCCGGCGTGTAATGACAACCGATGCACACACCCACGCGCACTCATGCGCGCACACACCCACGCGCACTCATGCGCGCACACACATGTACACGCATGCTTATATATTAATATATATATCAGGAGTAGATAAAGGGAACCTTTATCTACTCCTGATATATATATAATAATACCAAGAGTGTATAATATAGAGAATGTAAAATATATCTCCTGATAATACTACATCTGGAGTAACATCATGGATATGACCTTTACCCGGCTGCATTTTGTTTTGGTAAGCAGCGGTAGCTATCATCGTATTTGCACTATTGCTTACGCGTAATCGTTGCAAAATACCGCAGAAGGAAACATAGACATAATTCGAAGTACCGTATTAACTGGCTATGCGCCCGCACAACAGCGGTTATTACCTGCACTTTGGGCCGCAAATGTTGGTCCGGTTGGTCTGGTTGACGCGGGGTCGAAGTAACTGTTGCAGACGAAACGAGGCCACGTTAAATTGCGACGCTAACGAGATCAACTTATCAGTCAGGAGACTGTGTCCACAGACAGACTAATAGATCCCCGGTAACACGTACGGACACACGCACGCACGAACGCACGCACGTACGTAAGCAAACACGCACGCACGTAGGCGAATACGCACGCACACACACCAGACACACATACAACCGCACTAACACCGCCCCCCCCCCATACATGCACGCACACACGCACTCACGCACGGACGCACGTAGATAAAGGTACAACCGCGCCATCCACTCACACCCTAACGGACGAACACACACACGCACACGCACGCAAGCACGCACACACGGGTACATATACACACATACACCCACGCTCATGCACACACAGAGACACAGACACGCACTTACCCGGTTTCGCCATGTATATATCGAGTCAATTTTCAATTTGCGGAAGGAAGGAAAACGCAAACAACATATCAGCAGTATCAAATAATCGGTGGTGAAGCCTTTTACGTTTCGATTGCATCAGCCCCTCACCTTCTAACGACACAAAACACACGCAGATCGACTGAAAAAAACTGAAATATTCGGGGAAATCGGAAGTTTTACGCGGCAGTGTTGATTCGTACGAAAAATACGAAACACTCGATCGAAACCTAAATTCCACTCTAGATTCGTCTCTCCTGCTTCGCTTTGATTCGGATTGTAACGATAACGATCGACTTGCCTCTCACTCTAGCAAGCATCGATTTGATTAGAATAAGCCGCGCGACGCGCTTAGAATCTACGATGCTCCGGGGGCCGCTGTCAGAAACAGAATTAGTGTTAACACTAGTCCTAACATTGACTTTTCTGATTAGATCTCTGACGGAAACATCGTAAATTTGCGAGAATAAAAAAAAAATCCTACTAGATTTCCTACACGAAACAAAATGCTGTCAACAATCCTCCGAGAAAAGGCTTAATTAAGACTAGTGTTAAGACTAACTTTGTTTGTGTCTACGACGCCCCGATCCTATCCCCTCCCCCTCCTCTCCATCATCACACGCATTCGCCCGCAGTTACACCGCTATGCGAAAGTCTTACAAGACTCACTCAATATTCGAATTTCAAATTTTTTAAGTTAGAACGAGTCTGCGGAGTGCTGCTTACAAAAGACTTAAACCCGCACGTAGCGACGTAGAGGCTAGCCTCACCGGGTATCGGTTTATAGTCAACAAACACTTCCTTCTTGCGTCCAGTGATGGCTGGAGCAAGGAGCTAAATATAACAAGGAGAGGAAGCGGATTGGCTGTGCGCTTTTCGCCTCAAGGGCGCCATCTATGGACCATAATCAGCTCCTTGGGCTGGAGGATCCCTCGTGAGATTACCTACTCACGGAGAAACTGTTCTCGAACGTCTGACCTATCAGTTTGAACTATCGGGCCAGAACCACGCGCCTTCTCCTATATTATTGTTAGGTCAAATGAGCTTGCCTAATTTATATAGGTAATTGTATATATCACGCGTGCGTGCCAAATTGTCCACTTTACCACAGTTCCTTGCTAAGCGCTGGCTTTTAGAACGTCCTACGGCAACGCTCCCCCTCTCTCTAATCGGGAGGGAAATGGAGCGGAAGGCAATCAACCGAGCGCCATGGAGGAAGTTCACCAATGACCTGTGTCTCCCAGGAGACTGAAGGGTCTTAGAAGAAAAAAAAGAAGAAAAAGAAGAAGACGACGGCAACGCTGATTGGACGGCATGCCTAATTTATATAAAAAATTGTGTATTTCACGCGCGGACACCAAATTGTCGACTTTGCCACATTTTGTTGCTAAGCGTTAGCTTTTAGAACGTCCTACGGCAACGCTGATTGGCTAATGCTGACTGGCAGTCACCGCTGAGCGGACGGGGGTCATGTTACAAAGTTTGCGGGTTTCTCGGTGACGACGCTGATACAATTGCTGTTGTGATAGCGGCGGATTGAATTGATATTTGATCGATTTAGCCGTGTTTACACTCATGATGTGATTGAGTGTACGACCTAGCTACACGTGCGCAGACGCCCCCACAACTGCCGCCACCCACCCCCGCACCGACGACAAATCTCGCTCTTCTTCTTCTTCTTAAACTATCGTTCATCTGTCCTGGAACTATCATTCATCTGCCATGGAACTATCTTTCATCTGTCCTGGAACTATCTTTCATCTGCCGTGGAACTATCATTCATCTGCCATGGAACTATTTTTCATCTGTCGTGGAACTATCTTTCATCTGCCGTAGAGTTAGCGTTCGTCTGCCGTAGAAGTGGCGTTCGTGTGAAGGTGAAGGCAGCGTTCGAGTACCGTAGAGTTAGCGTTAGTCTGCCGTTGAGATGGCAAAGAGTTACGTTGACGTGGGCGTAAGCGCCCCGCTTGGTAACGCACGTTTTCCCGCATTGCTGCAGACGCTTGGACGCGCTGCCATGACTGCTACACGCACGCGCAACAATGGCGGGCGCGTAGCAACGATAGCGTCGCAAACAATAGGCGTTGCTATGGACGAACGAGTGACGCGGTTGGTGACGAATCGGAGCGAAATTACAATGCACGTAGTGTTCTTTCCATTGTGGCCGAGATGATTTGAGTGTAGATAACTTCACAACCTCATAAATATTAGTCTTCAAAGTTCAAGCGACTAGATCGAAGACAGCAAAAGAGAAAGTTGATCAAATAAATAGATCAACACTGCGGATCGCAGTAGAAAAAGCCCAAAATTTTCAATTAACTAAACTAAATGAAGAAGTAAGTAACTAAAGAGGAAGGGAGATAAAGTATGTGTAGCGGATATTTTGTGAAACTATGTGTGTCTATGTCATCCCTGTCGGTGCAACTTTTGCGACGAAGTGCCAAGCAAAAGTTGTGAGATTTCAGACTTGTGAACGTCATAACTAAATGTTTCCGTAAATATCTGTTAACGTTCTGTAAATGTAAACCCTCGAAGATTTATTTACGTCGCAGTTGTTAAATCTAATCATTTACTATTAAGTTTTTTTTCTAAAAATAAAAGTGCTACTAAATCATGTTTCTCCATCGAGTCTATCACTGTTATCTGATTTACCTCGTACAATTCTTATTAGCTAGAAATCATGTTAGTTGTTTTTAAATTAAATTTGATAATTGAATACATGCCGGCCGCCGACTCGTCATTGAATTTTTAGATATGAAGCAGTGTCAGAACAGCATGTTTCACTAAATGTGTTCCTGTGACAAATTTCGTTAGCTACGTAGTGGTTTTTATCGACGAACCTGAAATTGAAGTGTAATCGAATTGTTGACGCAAGTTCTGTGCGGGGTTAGTTTTCACGCGTTAGGTAAACTTTTATGTAAGGCTTTCCTTACAATATGCCAGATAAAATTTCGTTTTCGAAATTACCATCTTGGCAATAAAATTTGGCATATATATATATATATATATATA